TGAGTTATCCCTACGGGAGGAGGTCTGGCATATGAAAATAAGATTTATTTTTGTGTCATGCTTGGAATGTTATAAGGAGTATTTCAGATGTTAGATTCAGCTCGGTGGGGTACCCCTCAGCAGATGTACAGTCAGGTGGACCTCAGCTTTAAAATGTGCCCTAGGCGCTTGAGGATGATGAAAATTCTTCAATGGGATCCAGGTCCTGTCATTGAAGAAGATGTCTCTCCTGAGTGGTTGATAGTGAGAGTGGCACGATCTTCCATAGATTTCATCCCTAAATTGAGTTTTTACCACAATCTTGTTACTTAACCACCGCATGCTTGACGCGAGAAGTGGAAAGAGAAAGCTTCAAGTTTGAGGGCTCCAGAGTTATAGTGCGAGAACTCACCTCTATTTGCAGCTCTTTGTCACGGACTAACCTTTCTCTAGTTACTCGAGCGTCTTTAGCGCTCTCCTTTAGCACTAAATCAACCTAATCCTCACAACGCTTGAACTTGTGAGCACAAAGTACTCTTAAGAAGAATAGAGCGAAAGTAACACTTCATACTTGAATTCTTGGAAGCTTTGATTGAGTGCTTAGGTGATTACAATTGAGGGGAGGGGCTCCTGTTTATAGCCCCCTCCAAGCCCAAGGGAACATTCTAGAATACATTAGATTATTCTAGTTTCTATAGAGTTCTATATTCCTCTCTTATGTACATACATATTCGTAGAACATTCTAGGTTATTCTTGAGTCTTTTCTTCTCATATTCTCTAGAATTTGGTAGAATCTTCTAGAATTCTTTGAATTGTTCTCCAAAATCTGGTTTTCTCTAGAATTGCTCATCACATGTTTGCCATGCCAACTTATAGAATATGGCAAAATGCGGCACCCTCTTTGCGGCTTCCCCTGCATCTTCAAAATTGCCTCCTTGGTTTGCCCCCAAACTTGGCAAACTTTGGTTTCTCCATGGTGTTTTGGGAGAGGGGTGTCATGCAGCAAGTCTTCCTGGCTAGCGACTCATCCCTTGCGTCCAACCTTGTTGAACCATATTTTTTTTCTTTCTTTGTGGTGGTTCGTTAGGAACCTCCACCACTTTCCTTACATTCCAACTTCATCGGTTTTTTCTCCTTCATTAATATCATGAAGGATAGCCAAGTTGTCCCCCTTGTCTCGTGCAATGTCATCCCTGAGCTGGATTGTCAATAGCATTTTGGATCCTTGCTTGTTTAACCTTATGATCGGTATTGAGTAAGCTTGATTCCCTTTTGTGATGCACAGGCTATTGGCGAATGACATTGGGAATGCTCTTGCTTGCTACAAGAAGTTCGTTCCTATGACAAATTTGTAATCATCCAAAGGAATGACAGAGAAGTCTAGAGTACCTGAACATGCCCCAATGCTGGTCTTGACTTCCTTAGCCATTCCATCGATTGGCATCTCTGTTGAGTTGACGACATTAATGGAGTCCCCTCCTTGAGTCATCTGCAACGCCAACCTCTTTGTTTTCTCGTTGGAAATAAAGTTGTGGGTAGCACCCGTATCCACTATTACCCTGGTGGTCTTCCCTTCTATTGTCATCTCCACAAAGAGTAATCTCTTCCCTTGGGGTTTGGTCGGAGCTTGCATCTCGTTCAGCAGTTGAAGAGATCTCGCATGCACCTCCATGCCATTTTCCCTATCACTTTCTTCTTCCTCATTGTGGCTTGCAAGGAGAGAGTTGAGGGTCTTCTTCTAAGGGCAATCCCTTGCTCAATGAGGTCCTTCACAAAGAAAGTGGTGGTTTTGATATGGCTTGTTGTTAGTCTTCCTTTTGTCCTTTGCCTTTGTTGGGGTTACATACATAATAACTGCTGTGGGGAAATAGAAGATTTACATACATAATACTTATTTCTAAGTCTCTATTTGGCGCAGCTGTAGCTGAGCGCTACCCGAGGAAGCTGTTGTGGGGAAGCTGCTGCGGGAAAGCTGGTTGCCCCGCTTTGTGAAAATAATTGTAGGGCAGCTGTTTATGTAAAAATGATCATTTTACCTCTGTTTGGTAATGTTGTGCATAACAGAACTATGATAACCGTAAATTTAATATTTTTAAGGTAAAAATTCACTTAAAAACAATATATTGTAACACAAAATAATATTTCCATCATTGCTCTCCCAAAATTTTGGGAATTCCATCCAATGATGTCCCTTAGGCTAGCTACAAGCAAGACTAATTACATAAAATTAGGCACTACCAAAAATACATAGGTGAATATTACCATAAAGAAAGGGATTGAGAATTATAACAAAATTTAAGAACCAATAAACAAAGAACCACCTTATCAACTTTGTCAATCCTCCATTTTTTAGAAGAGACAGGTGCTTCTAAGAGCTACCTTTCATATGTAAGTCAATCTTGTAATGTATTATCAATCCTTTTTTTTTAGGCATACTTCAATACTGTATGAGAAACATTAATAATTCTTATTGTTGTTATTATTATTATTATGCACTGGGTGTATCACCCAAATACCATTCTAATATCATCAATACTACCCCAATATAATGCAAATATCATCTGTCTGCACCCAATCCGCAACTTATTGTTCTCTTTAAGTTAACACACACACACACACACACACGAATCATGACTTATTGTTCTCTTTAAGTTAACACACACACACACACACACACGAATCATGACTTATTGTTCTCTTTAAGTTATTAGTTATAAGGCTCTATTTGGCGCAGCTGCAGCTGCGCTGCCACGAGAAGCAGTTTCCGGGGGGGGGAGAAGCTGTTGCGGTGGCAGCGCAGCTGCCACGAGAAGCTGTTGCGGTGAAGCTGCGCTGCCACGAGAAGCTGCTGCGGGGAAGCTGACTGTTTGTTTATTGTAGCTGTTTGAGAACAGCTGTGGGGCTGTTGTTTTTAGAAAAATGATCATTCTCCCCCTGTTTACTGAAGCTGTTTAAAATAGAAGTACGACAACAACATATCTAGCACTTAAAACATCAATTTTTACATGTCTAGCACTTAAATCATCAAGTTTTACACTCATGCCGCCTCCCCTATGCTTCAATGTATGCAATGCAAAGTTACTAATACAGAGCAAAACCAAATTAAGGAAATGCAAGAGCATGGCAATGCAAGAGTTAATATAAAATATAAACATAATTCACATGCATAAGGTGAATATAATTATCTGAGTCAACATCATCAACGAACAATGCATCAATTCATAATTTTTAATTTTGATGTACTCATAAATTTTAAATATTGATATAAAAATGAATCCAATTTATAATTTCTACAAGTTATATTTTAAAATTCTAAAGTGGCGAGGGACAAGTATTTATTCCAATCCTAAACTTAGCCATGTCTTTCATTCTTAGTCTTTAAAGTTAAACCTTTTTAAGTTGGTAACTTTCTTTGGGAAATACTCTTAAATTTCCTTACATTCTTTCTCTCGGAATACAGATAGCCACGGAAGCCTCAAAAGGTTTATATTTATTTTGCAAAAGCATATCTATGGTAGATCCTTACAACTATTAACTTTATGCAACAAGTTCTTTTATTTTGGAAGTTAATCATTTAATTGAATAAAAGTTAACATGAGAAAAAAAATTTTAAGGAAAATTTACATACATATACATACCGCACAATTCTTATCTTATGCATTTACATATCTAATACGTAATGTTTGATATTCACATTTATAACATCATGGTATTAGAAATCTATGCAAGGTGTATTTCACTTTTAAAAGTTAATAATAATTATAATGTCACATTGAAGATTTGAGTATCATATATATAAATATTAAAATTTTGATATTTTGTTCCGTTGGTGCAACTTCCCAAGAGGTCACCCATCCTAGGACCCGATCGCTTGCGGACATGCTTAACTTTAAAGTTCTATTGAAACTCTAATTCAGTTGCATTTTGCTCAAGCGATCACAACGAAATTTTGTAGGTGCGGCTAAGGTGCCCCCAAGATAATTCCCTGTAAGTCTATGGGTAGACAAATAGTTATCATATAGAGAAATATACCACTCATTTTTTACTTGAATAATTTTAACTTGTATTTCAAGAAAGTAACATGTCTAAAAAAAATTCTCTTTAAAGCAGAGAACATACATTTTTCTTGCAAAGACGAGCAATACATGATTTCATATTTATTATTTTCTTATCTTTTTTGTAGTTACCTTTCAAAAAGATAATATAATCAAAGAACTAAATATATGTAGCCAAATTCCTCTAAACCAGGAACCTATACTCTGCCACTTGTACTCAGCCACCTATGCTCGGTCACTCATACTCAATCATATGTACTCAGCCTAGTGTTCTCAGCCCCCTATACTCGACCTCCTATACTCGGCCCCTACACTCACTCACTTGCATTCGATCAGCTGCAATCGATCATCTATACTTGACTTACTGCGCTTGATCTCCTGCAAACTTCCTAGAACTCTTCCGGAGAACTCGCCCATGGCTGAATAGACCAACTAAATAACAACAGCGAGTACATAGCAAAACTCTGAAAGCAGCAAAATGACATCAACAGAATAAAATACATCATAGAAAATATAATTTTTACACCTGAGATATAAAGGATAGATCCATGCAGCCAAAAATCCCAAAAAAAATTGTATGTAAATATAGCTTACACATATTATATTGAGAAATTACCCTATAAAGGAGAGCGAAAATAATGCAAGGAAGAGACTTCCTCATCACTCACAGGAAAGCTATTAGAAGAGTTGATATCCCTACTCTCTCTCTCCTTTTTCACTTCTCTATTGTTCACTCTCCCCCTCCTTAATGGTCAACCATTCCTTGAGTATGATTCAAGACAAATCTGAGTCCAACAAATGTTATTATAAAACATAATAAAAAGTTAATTAAATCAACCAACCAAAAGAATTCCACGCGTCTCAAATAAAAGGAAAAGTCTGTCATGTTAAAGCAGAATCCCATAATTGCACAAACAGCGCTCCACAAACATTTTTCAAATTTTACTTGTAAAATGAGCTTTTTAATGAAATATTATTGATGTAAATGCAGTTGTATCTACAACAGAAACGTGTGAAATATAGTTCTATTTTTTTATTTTATGTACACGAAATTTTATCTTTAACAAATGAAATCATCGAGGTATAAATCAACATTTCACAAGTAACAACTAACCGGTAAGTTGCTAAGTAAAGGTGCTATTGTGGATGAGAGGATTTTTTTCTTTCGAGCACTTTGTCTTCTTCAGCTCTGTTTGAATGAATTAATACGGCAAAGGAATAGAAAGGCAGTGTGAGCAGTAAGTTGCAGAAGCAGTTATGGATGTGTTAAGAATGCAATGGAAGCATCAGAGAGGAGAGTTTGCAAACGTGGGAAGCCGACCGCAGCCAGCAACGCGAGCCCAACCGATCCTCTGCTTCTCATTGTCGTAAACAATCATCACATCCTGCATTGATATGTCTGCAAGGAGCGAAAAGCAAAACCAAGCAAACCAAATTATACAAAAAAAAATTAAGTAATGTTTGTCCCAAAAATGTCTCAAATTAATTTGTGTATTTTCATTTTTTTTATGTGCAAACAAATCAATCTGTCCATATGAACCAAATGGATGTGATAAAATTTAGGATGGGAGATTTACATACATACCATTTAATTCCTATGTATATACATAAACTTCTAAACATCAATTTTTAAACATATGCCACCTTAATTATCTACGTATGAAAACGTGTACTTCACTTTTTAAAAGTTAAAATAATGATGCTTGCTATGTAATAATAAAAATTTAGGTGATATAAATGTAAAAAGTGAAGTTTAGGTGTTGGATGTGTAAACACATAGAAATTGGCGGATATGTATGTAAATGCCCCATTTAGGATACATCCACATTTTATAATATTAAAGTAGCAATTTTTAAAAGTTATCCTTAAGTAATATTTTGTCCCTCATATATGAGCAACTCCCACTTAGCCTAGATGCAAATAATTCTAGGAAGATATACATACATAACACTCAATTCTTATATATCTAACATCTAAATTTCATTTTCCACATATATTCCACCTCATTTATACATTAAAAGTGTATTTCATTTTTTAAAAAGTTAAAATAGTGATCTGATTTATATATATATAAAAAAAGATTTGGGTGATATTAATGTAAAAAGTAAGGTTGAGGTGTTAGATATGTAAATATATAGAAATTCTAGTACGACCTGTTATCCTAGTTTGGCTCATAGTTTAATCAGCAGAGTATTAATTCTTCCATTAAAATTTACCTCCAACAAGATTCAAGTCGCCCAGGCCTATTTCGCCGCCATTGAGGATACCCAGGCAAGCATTTCCTTGTTTCTGAAACAAGTCAGAACTCAGGAATAAGAAATTAATAAAGTTCTCCTCTGCATAAAAATCTGGATGCCAATTATGCTTACAGTGACGATGAAATAGTTCTCAGGTGGGATCTCCAGTACAGCCGGAGCTTTCCCATTTGCGAAGCTGAGATTTAAGGAGCGGAAGTGCTTCCTGAGATCAAAGACGGACTTGAAGGGCCTCGTTCCCTTCCAGCAGTGAGGAAGCGCCTTATCTTCGGCTGCTTCCTTTAGCATCGGCTTCACTTTCGAGATTTCGGTGCTAATCTAATATTACTGATTATTTAGTATTTTTATATTTTATTTTTTATTTTGAATAAGATGGATAGGAATGGAGAGGTACCGCAGAAAGCAAGTGGTGATATAGCTTATCGTTGAAGTAGGTGTAGGAGCTGCCACTGTCAAAGACGACAGCTTGCTTCACCCCCAGCTGCTGCTTGCCAGCGTATACTTCAGCCAGCCCAGGCGAGTAATATTTGCTGCACAACATGTACAATCAACTAAGGAAAAAAAAAGGAAGATTTAAGTGCATGCCATTTCATTCCTCTGTATTTGCTTGTTTAACACCAAAACTTCAACTTTTATCTTCACAACACATTACTTATATATGAATACCTGTAACACCTAAACATTCATGTTTACATGTATAACACTCAATTTTTTCACATTACATAAAATATATCCCTATTATAACTATTTTTTAAGAAGTGACATACATAATTTCATGCATAGGTTTATAAAACTAAGGTGTTATATAAGTATAAATATCAAAAATTTGGGTGATAGATAAGAAAATACAAAAGATTTGTAGGTTATGTATGTAAATTTCTCTACTTTCAATATGATATGAAAGATCATGTTAGGTGTGTAAGATACGTAAATATATAAGAAATGGGGGTATGTATGTAAACTTTTTATTTATAATGTGATGCGAAAGATATGGGATGTATAAATGTAAGCAAATAAACTTTTGAGGTTAGGTATGTGAGATATGTAAATACATAAGAATTGTGGAGTGTGTATTTAAACTTCCCTATTTTTAATGGTGATGATATAACTTAGAAACAAAAATTTTGATGTTAAGATATGTAAACAGATAGAAACTAAAACTCACTGCGCAGCATTGTGGGACATAGGCGCCCAAGTCAAACTCCTGGGAGGAACAACATTCTCCCCAAAGAACATAAACCCAGTGCTCCGCCTGCCAAGACAATGACCGACGACGCTCCGGCAAATACCGAGCTGGCTCAGCTGCGAAAGTATGCTCACTTTCCCGCTCCCAAGCCCAAGCACACCGTCGGTGTCCGAGCGCCCGTTGGGCCCTGCTGATGGGCCAGCTTGCTGGTCGTAGCCGCAGCCGAAGGAGAGTACAGGGTGAGCAAGAGAGCTGTTGGTTAAGCGGAGCGCAAAGGTGTCGGAAACCAGGACGCCGATGGAGGAGCCATGATCTTGGTACTCGATCTCGTAGTCGCATTGTTCGGCTACCTCGCATCCGCCTTCATGATTCGTCGATTCGTGTAAAGCAGCGCAGAGTGGATGCTTGCATGGCACGAGGCCGTTCTTCCTTGGCCGGTACAGAGGATGAGGCCCCTGCAATGTCGAAGAGTAAGGTGGATTGGGTTTAAACTTGATAGCATACAAGGGGCAACAGGGATTTCATTTCTAGGGTTTAAAATTGTAATGATTTTGGGCTTAACCCTAGGGTACAAAGCTACCATATTCCGAAATTCATTAGATTTTGATACTTTGTAATGTGATTCTCAAATATATTGTAAATTATAGTATATTGTTGCCCCCATCACGGCCCATTGCCGCCGGCCACCCGCGCTTGCCGCCCACTATCCGTTGTTCGATGCCGCTACATGTTGTCCCCCGCCGCCCGTCCCAGGCGTTGCAGCCAACGGTCGCCGCCATGACTTTTATTAAACATGTTTTCATATTAAGTTCATATTTCTTCAAACTAAACATTAAAATATAAACTCATATATTTATTTTATGAGACATGTATATACATAAAAATTGAGTGTTATGTATATAATTTTCCCACTATTTTATATATACTACATTACAATTAAAAATTTTAGGAGGTTCGCAAGGTCTTGACTCGATATTTGCATTCAGTCAAATTAAATGCGGTCCACTTTATTACGATAAATTTTAAATTTAAGTACTAATATTTTTAATTCAATTGTTAATTAAATCAAATTTATAAATTAAGGATCCTAACCCTGCTGAAGAAAATAAGATAAAATCAGACGGTATTCATTTCAATCTATCATTCAAAGCCTTTAGTTGTCATCGTCAGGCCGAATCATGTTGGGATGGGTGCACCAGATGTAGAATGTTCGGGTAATAAATTATTGAATCTAAAATTGTATATAATGTTGAACGTTCAACTAATAAATTGTTAAAGAGATTGTTAGAGAGAGAGAGAGAGGGCACACTAGGGAACATTAAATGAGTCCATTTTTTATTCATGACATGAACCCTCTATTTATAGAAATAGGTCACAGTTATTACTAAATTACAACTCAGCCCCCTCATTTAGGCTTAAGGGGGGACTTTTAGTAATTACAAGTATATAATAAGGTTGCTAAGCATATTTGGTCGATGAGAAGTCCTTTGACCGCTCGCTATGCCTTAACTCTATTAGTGCACGGTCCGAGACTGGGCAACTCGTTGATCAGCTTTGGAGTCGATCATCATTCTATAGAAAATTTTTCGCCGCATTCTTCTGATCACCCGACCACCTTCTCCGTTAGCGTCCAACCCTTCAGTTGTTAATAAGGCGTCTGATTGATCGTTCCTCGTTGCAGACCCGTTTATTTATTTATTTATTTTTATGCTTGACATTCGCGTAGGGTAGGCCTATATATCGGTGAATCGGGTTAGTCCAGATGAAGTTTTGGAATGCATTCGCTATTATGTGTGCCAGAGACTTTGCTTTTACCCACTTGGAGAAATAATCGATAGACACCAGCAAAACTTCTGGTGTCCTCTTGATGGGGGGAAGGTCGAGGCCCCGCATAGCAAACGAATGAAGTATTTGAGTTGGTTGATGGCGTATTGGTCCGTATTTCTAATATTATGTACACCTTCAAAAATATTTTGGCGTCTTTGAGTAAGTTCAGCCAAAAGTAACCCTGTCACTGAATTCGGTGAGCCAGTGTATTTCCTCTGAAAAGGCTCCCACACTCTCTGTCATGCACATCCCGGAGTATGTCCTCAACTGTCTTCCCCAATGCACGTCAGGTATAAGGACGTGGTTGACTTCCTGAAGAGTTTTTCTTTGACTGGTAGGTATTGGGCAGCCTTATATTTGAATCTCCTATGATCGGTGACTTCTTCATCGATCTCCCACGTGCTTAGATACTGGATGTATGACTTTATCTAGCTCTTCTTCTCCTCCTGTCTAGCTCTTCTTCTCTTAATGTTGAATCTCCATTGCTAGTGGTTCTTCGATTGAGTGTCAATCGAGTCTTTGTGGTTGTCCTTCTTCTAGGTGAAGGCTTCGAGATAGAAGGTCCGTGACTGATTTTCCTCTCTTCGGACATGTTTGATTCTGAAGATGGCAAACCAATCGATCTCCATCTTTGTCTTCCCTAGGTACTTTGCCATAGTCTCCTCCCTAGTTTCAAATTCCCCATTGATTTGGTTCACTATCAGTTGGGAATAGTCCTTTACAATTATGTGGAGGACTTCCATCTTCGAGGCTAGGTGAAGTCCTGCAATCAAAGCTTTATATTTTGCTTGATTGTTTGTCAATGAAAAGTTTCCCTCAATTGAGTGGTAGAAATTTTCCCCTATGGGGCTACACAAGAAAACTCCAAGTCCAACACCTGATTGGTTGAATGCCCCACCGATGAACAGTTTAGGTCGATCTGTCGGTCATCAGATCCTCGTTTATCCCTCTCGATTCAGAGAAGTCAGCAATAGTCTTTGCCTTTATTGTCATTCAGGGCATATAGGAGATGTCAAACTCGCTGTGTTCCAAGGCCTATTTGAGTAGTCGACCGGAATGCTCTGATTTGGTGAGAATAGATTTAATGGGTGGCGAGTATATTCAATCAATGAGAAGTCTCCCGACCGCTAGCTATGCCTTAACTTCATTGGTGCACAGTCTGAAACAAAGTAACTCATTAATCGGCTTTGGAGTCGATCACCATTCAATAGAAAATTCTTCATCACATTCTTCTGATTGCCCAACCCCAATGTCTCCTCCCTTGGCATCCAATCCTTGAGTCGCCAATAAGGCACCCGATCCATTGTTCCTCGCTCCAAAACCGTCATTTGCCTTAAGATTCATGTTGATATATATATATATATATATATATATATATGTATAATGAAAAAAATAAAATATATATATATATATCCGAGATTGTTCTATAAAACGCCCAAGAAATAGAGCGTAGGAGAATGAGAGAGAGAGAGAGAGAGAGAGGAAAAGGGATTAGATTAGCTCGAATAATCAATCAGCCATTTGATGTAGAAATGACCATTAGGGGTATGAAGTGGAGAATTACCTTCTTACCCCTATTTGAAGTAAGGACGTTAATGGGTATTTTACTCATAAAAAAATACATTAATAAATAAATGAATAAAGAAAATAAAATAAATAAGATATCTGATTTGGTCATCCCATCCTCCACATCTAAGGTTGGGTCTTTGATCAGTCAGACTATAGGCTTTCAGTCGGTCGAATTATGGGCCTTTGGTCGGTTGAATTGAAAGACTTCGATCATCCATGTTGCGGTTCTTCGGTTGTCTAGGTTGTAGATCTTCGATCAACAAGTTTATGGACCTTCGATCAACAAGTTTATGGACCTTCAATCGAACAAGCTATGGACCTTTGGTCGGTTAAGCAAGGAACCTTCGATCAGTTGGGTTCCTGATCTAATTAGCCCTTGGACAGGACTCCTATTTTCAAGATGAGGCTACGCTGTCGGACAAATAACATTTTATCATAATCTGACAGGTAGCTCCACCCCTTCAACAGAGAAGCCACTGGTGATGTTTGTGTTGGTGTCCCATTAGATGTTAGTTGTTGTGAAGGGCCTTTGAGATTCTATACGAGATGATTTGTGGTTTTATCTTCAGGAGCTTTACGATTATCCTTTCTTGGGGGATATTCCCTGATTCTTGTCCCGAGGGGTTGTTGTTCAATAGGTCATGTACACTTTTTAAAAAAGACCTTGGTTAGGCATTGGATTTCATGGGTTCACGTTGATATGATCTCTAACTTCTGGTGGGCCATCTTTAACCATGCTTGCCTCTGAGACCATAAGATTCTTCTTAGATTGGTGCTCACGTGTGTGTGTGTGTGTGTGTGTGTGTATTCAAAATAAAGATAATCCTAACAGGGCTCTTCTTGAACCTTGTTAGCATCTTCCATCCGAGTGTCATGCAAATGTCTAGTTCTAATAAGTCTTTTATGGATCCTAATCGGCCAATATCATCAAGTATATCCAGTGAGCGTCTAATACTGATCGACCATTTCTATTGAGAATTTGACAAAGTATGTTAACAAAATTAACTAAGTGGTAATGATGTAAATATCAAAGTATGTGATAAATATATAAATAATAATGTTTTGAATAGTATTTACGTAAATCCCCCATTTAATTATTGAGGTTGATATGAAATTTCTAGAAAGAGAAAGAATTTTACCACTTAAAAAGTGTGTGGTGGCTACAATGATGCAGAAGCATTCCATTAATCACAGGATTATGGATCCCATTCTCATGATCATGGGAATTTCACAATATTGTGATAATAAAGAGTTGTTTCTGCGATTGCACATGAGTTAAAACACTATTTTTCTGATCGTTGGGGAGTTCAAACACGTGATTTTATCCAGATTCAGTTTATGTGCGAACTTGTTTTTTTTTTTTTTTTTCCTCTTGCTCCTTTATTTCCATTTATATTCATTTCTATTAGAAGACCATATATGTGTATTTTTTTTGCTTTGGGGACAACTAGCTACTTTGGAAGACTTTGTTCAAAGTTTTATGTTTTTTGAAGTGTTCAATCATTTTCCTTTTGCAAGAATTGCATTTGTAGCTTGCTTCTCGTTGCTTGTACCTCACGTGTCATTGTTTGACTTGCTATTTTCAGTATGGACATTTGTCGACCACATCAAATCCTCTATCCAACAACAAATGTGACCTCATATCGCCTTACAAATGTCGTCAACCATCCATATAATCCTTCACTAGCTATTTAGCAAATACCTCTCCACTAAATTTTTAGGGTTTTTCTCACTTGCCTCAATTCAATTTTTTAAATAGCCTAACTTATTATCTATATATCATCCACCTAGCCCTTTACCTAAGCCCTCGACCAACCTTGATTTGTAATCCTGTATCCGCTGAAAAACTGATCGAGGGAAAAGGATGTCATGTCGCTAAAGAGAAACTCTAAAGGAGGTGTCAAGGAACTTATTATGGAGGATAGGCAATAAAAAATCCTCCAACTATAACAAAGTCTTGTCGTTTTTTTCATGAGATAATTTGATGAGATCACCCATAGTCATAACAATGAACACCAAAACAAGGGGAGGAGGTGATTCCCTTCCAGTGGGGTTCCAG